AGCGCCCCACCTCATTACATCACTCACTTCCCAGGCCCTGCCCTCAATGCCTTCTGACCAGGCCCTGGCCTGGTTCTGTCACCCTGTCCCAGTGGGTGCTTCAGACCACTCACTGACCAAGTGAAGGACTGATTCGAGGTTACAGAGTGCTGTGTTTATGTGACCTGAGAATATGTGTGCACAGACTGTGCCTGCAGTGTCATTGCACAGTTGAGCATGTACATGTGCTGCCTGTGTGTAGGCAGCCTGTCCACACATGCCTAGGAGTGTGACTCCGTGTCCTGGTAGATGGGGAAGAAGAGAGGGAGTTGTGCCCAGGGTCCCCTGATTACTTCTGTGGGTGCATGTTTGTGCGTCTTGTTAGGGGTGCTTGGGGGTATGCAAGATTCTGCCCTGGGCAGATCACCTGTGTGTGTGTGCGCACACGCGCGGGCGTGCATTAGGGGGTGTACTGTTACAGCATCCTCAACCAACTCTGTATGTGTGCGTGTGTGTGTGTGTGAATGTGTGTGCATTAGGGGGTGTACTGTGTTACAACATCCTCAACCAACTCTGTATGTGTGCATGTGTTTGTGTGTGTGTGTGTCCTACAGGTGTGAGCGAGTGGATGCTTCCACTACTTGCATTGTCCTTGCACACTCGCGTGTGTCCCTTGAGAACAGAGCCCAGCATGTGCTAGCACCTGCAGGAACGTGTGAGTGTGCATTCTGCGGTTCCCTGTCCTGCTGACTCCCTGCTTGTCCCGAGGGCGTGTGCGCCTTTAGGTCCCAGGCCTGCGTGCTCGCCAGTGTGAGTGCCAGTGAGTGTGGCCCCGCGCAGCTCTCTCCGCTCTGCGCTGCCTGCACACTCACCCTGCATAGTTGCTGCCGGGTGACTCGGGCGGGGCCGGCCACCTGCCTGCCCGCCCATGGCACTCACTGGCGCCGGCAGTCGCTGAGGCCCTGCCGCGCCCCGCAGGGCCTGTTGAGCCGCCCCCGGGCCGGGGTCGCTGCCGGCCAGGCTCCGCTCAGGCGGTGCGGCGCTGCCTGTATGAACCCCCGGCGGCCCAGGGAAAAGGCGACCATCTGCATCCAGGAGCACGTGGCCATCGACATGTGCCCCGGCTCCATCTGTCCGTCCAGCCGATTTCTGCCTACTTCCCTCACTTCCCGCGGAAGCTGCCCCATGACGCCCCCGCGCGTCGGGCCGCGGCCAGCGCCTGCCCCTGCCGCCCCTCCGACGGCTCCCGCGATGACTACAAGGATGGGGACCATCTCCTCGGAGTCTAAGGATTCAGTCCGGGTTCCAGCCCTGTGCAGCCTCCCGCCAAGCCGCCAGAGGACGAGCTGGACGTCAAAGGCTACCAGTGGACGACTGCAGTAAGTTTCCAACTCGCCGACTTCGCACCCCTCCACTGGCTCCGGCTTGACAGTCCCCGCTTTCGGGGTGCCCTCTGTCCCTCCCCCTCGCGTGGTCGCGTTCCCCCTTGGTATTTCCGTAACCCCTCGCCTTGAGGCCACAGACCCCTAAGCGCTCCGTGCGGTCTTCGCGCCCTGCCCACCGGCCCCGACCCCTACCTCTACCGGATCGGAGAGGTGGGAAGTTTGGGGGCACCAGCTTGAGGTGTCCCATTTCCGGGGCTGGGCTCCGGGGAGCCGGTGTGGCGCCCGCTCCCTGCCCGCCAGCCCTTTGGGAGCTCAGGCGCGGACAGCCGCTTTTGTTCCCGGGAATGGCGGAGCTGCGTCCCGGGGAGACTCGCGTTGCAGCCGGCAGCGTGGTCGCCCCCCGCTGGCCGGCCCTCCGGGAGGGCACCGCAGGGTAGGATCGGGGCTGGGACGGGCTGGGGAGGGGGCCCAGGGCTGGGGCCGGTTCGGCCTCCCAGGTGGCGAGCTGGCCGAGGAACTAGTAGGACCGCTGGGCCGCTTGTCATTTGGAAAAACCTTGGCGGTTCCTCCTCTGGTGCCCGTGGACTCCGCCGCGGCGTTCTCCAGGGCTGCGGACCTTCGCCCACCGGTTGCGCCCGCTGCCCCGGGGCAGCAAGGACCCCCCTCCTCCCGGACCGAGCCCCGAGCCCCATGGAGCAGGCAGGCGCTCTGGCACCTTTTCCCGCCCCGGAGGGTGCCTGTCAGACCCGGCCGGCCGGGACTGGCTGGGAAACCGAGGCCGGAAGAGGTCGCAGTCCAGCGAGGAATCAGTTTGTGAGGTGGGACTGGGATGGGAGACCTCTCCCCAATCCCACCAGCCCCAGCCCAGCTGTGGCCTCAGCCATGTCACCCAGAAAACCAGTGTCAAACCCTAGCCCTGCCAGGGATGTGGACCTTGCCCGGTGAGAGTCCTGCTCAGGATTCTCCAGGGCCCCTCCTCCGCGCAGCAGGGGTGTCTGCCCCTGGCCTGGGCACTCATCAGGGCCTGCAGGCTGCGGGCCTGGAGTTTCCCTAGCATCAAATGTGCCACCGGAAGCTGAAGGTAGGGATTATCAGTTCCCTCCGGAGTGCTTTCCAGAATGGGGGGTCTGCTTAGGGTTCCACTTAGGGGTATATCCCTCAGGCATTGGAAGTGGGTTTGGAAGTCCCCGAGACAAGGTGGCGCCCCCAGTCACCGGTTCTTTCTCTGTGTAAATCCAGCTTTGCAAGGAGGAGGATGTGGTGCATTTCCAGGAAGGGCTGGGGTCCTGGAGTGTGGGGAGCTGGGGTTGGGGTGTGGGGAAGGGCCCAGGGTTGGCGAGCTGAGCAGGACTGTCACAGGCCTCTGGACGTCCTAGGGTGCACCCTTGCTTGTCTGCTCTTCTAAGGGTCAGTCTCAGTTTGCCCATCTGTAAATAGGGTTGATTGTCCCTGCCCCATGTGGCTGTTGTGAGCATTCAGTGAGCGCTGCCAGTCCTGGGAGACTCTTGGGGTTTTTTATTGTGCTAAAATACACAAATATAAATTTCCCATTTCAGCCATTTCTTTTTACTCCTTCACTCCCCACCCACCCACCCATTTTTAGCATACAGTTCAGTCGTGCTCAGTACCTTCTACCTTCACACTGTGTGCAAGCCATCTCCAGAACCCTCTTCACCCTGCACAATTGAAACTGGACCCGTTAAACAACAGCTCCCCGTTCCTCCTCCCCGGTCCCTGGCAACCGCCATTCTGCTTCCTTCTCTATGGATGTGACTATTCTAGGAACCTCATATAAGTGCAATCATCGGTATCTGTCCTTTTGTGTCTACCTTCTTTCACTCAGCAGAATGTCTTCAGGCTTCATCCATACTGTAGCGTGTGTCAAAACTTCCTTTTTCAGGCTGAATGATACTTGAGAATCAAAATCTCCTCTCCCAAATGCCGTGCCAGCAACAGTGTCTGAGAGGCCCAGGGAGGGGCAGGGCTGGGGTTTTGGGGAGAGGCTGTCCTCTCAAAGCCAGACCCCCCATCTATCCCCTCAGTGCCAGCACCAGCCAGGGCCTCCTCTCATGGCTTACTCCACCTGTCCCTCCCGTCGGAACCGCCCCTAAACCATGGGGTCAGTTTCTGTCTTTTGCCAACTCCCCAGCTGGGGAGGGTCTACCCAGGAGACCCCCAACGACTCCCTGACCTGGAATCAGCCTCCTGCCCTCCCCCTTCTGCGGACAGAGGTCACACTCCGTGGGAGAGCAGCCCCACAGAGGGCTGGCTGGAGGCACTGGTGGGAGCCCCGGCTCAGGGCCAGGGAAGCCACCTGTTTGGGCACAGAAGCTGGCGGCAGCACAGTGACACGGCCTCAGGAAGTGCCCACTGGTCCTTTTGCTTCTGGCCAAATGTGTCACTGTTCAGGGTGCTCAGGGACCTGCCGGGTGAAGGAGTGGAGAGGCGGCAGCAGAGGGCCCATCACAGTCCAGGGGTCTGAAGGACAGAGCAGGCATCCCTCCCGTCCCAGTGTGGCAGCGCCCCCAGCCTAGCCCCCATGGGTATCTTGGGGTGCAGAGGTGGGACAACCAGAGCCACTAGACAGACATACCAAAACTTCTGGTGGCCCAGAGATATGCAAGTGAAATGTGTCAAGAAACAGGACCCAGTGAAAACATTTTGAGCTACAACAATATATGCATTGTAAGAATAAGACACAGTGGTCAGGCACCCCCTGCACAGGGTGGGCCACCAGATTCCCAGAACTCTGCACTCCAGGCACGTGGTGGGAAAGGCAAGAGGTCAGAGTGAGGGAGTTGGTTTTGGAAGAGCAGCCATGTCACCGTGGGCACACGTGGGGCCACTGAGCGAGGCCCTGTCCCAGAGGCAGCCCCACAGTGCAGGGCACAGCTCAAGATATGTCCACCTGACCTCCTGACCTCAGCCACTTCTCTGGCATCTTGCAGGGGCCTGGCATGCAGGGAAGGGGAGGAAACGCTCTGCCTGCTAGGCCCTGTGTCCACATCGTCTCCCTACCTCTCGCTCCAGCCCTGGGAAGATGGGACTATTACATCCTTGAGGTTGCTACTATCATGATTCCGGATAATACCCCCACATTTGCCCTAGCTGGTTTGCTGTGATGTTGGGCTAGAGGAGGAATATCTCAAAATTGGAAGGGATTATAAAATGTTGCATGAGGCCGGGCGCGGTGGCTCAAGCCTGTAATCCCAGCACTTTGGGAGGCCGAGACGGGCGGATCACGAGGTCAGGAGATCGAGACCATCCTGGCTAACATGGTGAAACCCCGTCTCTACTAAAAATACAAAAAACTAGCCGGGCGAGGTGGCGGGCGCCTATAGTCCCAGCTACTCGGGAGGCTGAGGCAGGAGAATCGCTTGAACCCAGGAGGCGGAGGTTGCAGTGAGCTGAGATTGCGCCACTGCACTCCAGCCGGGGCAACAGAGCGAGACTCTGTCTCAAAAAATAAATAAAAAATAAAATAAAATAAAATAAAATAAAATGTTGCATGAGAATAGCTATTTATGCAGGTGGGTGTGTGGGTGGAGGGGAAGAGAGAGAGTCAAAATACACTCTTTGGAGCTAGACAGGGCATGTTTGTTGCCTTGATCTCTTGATACAATTGGTAGAACAACAACAGATGGGAACATTCCTGAAGCTCTCTGAACTAGACTGAAATCTGCAAAACTGGTCCCCTCAATGCGAGACCCAGAGCAAGTGGTTCAAGAGAACTAAGAGAGAACCAGTTTTTAGTGCAAGGCCCCAGCTTCTCAAATCTTGGTTTTTGAATTAAAAATCACATACTCATACTTATGAAAATCAAAGCACAAAGAATGGAAAATGAAAAGTAGAGATCCCCATTTCTTAAAAGTCATGGTTGCCAGGGAAATCACATTTAATAGACTGGGATATATCACATCAAATGTCCTTATAATATAGAGACCGGGCACAGTGGCTCATGCCTATAATCCCAGCACTTTGGAGGCCCGAGCAGGCAGATCACAAGGTCAGGAGATTGAGACCATCCTGGCTAACACGGTGAACCACCCTGTTTCCCAAAATACAAAAAAAAAAATTAGCCGGGCGTGGTGGTGGCGCCTGTAGTCCCAGCTACTCGGGAGGCTGAGGCGGGAGAAAGGCGAATCTGGAGGCAGAGCCTTGCAGTGAGCTGAGATTGCGCCACTGGCACTCCAGTCTGGGAGACAGAGCAAGACTCCGTCCTCAAAAAAACAAAACAAAACAAAACAAAAACTATCGATATAAGGAAAATACATTCCTTATGTGTATCTCTATACCAATCTCTATATTACCACATTAAATTATATACTGTATATATAAATAATATTGCTTAGTAAAAGTTATATATATTTACATAAGTAT